TCATGGCCCCTTTCTGCTGGCCTGGTCACCCCTCACTGCCCCCCCTGAAGGCCTGGTTGGTGCCAACTGTGCCCCCTGCCAGCCTGATCGCCCCTCACTGCCTCTCTCTGCCGCCTGATCACCCCACACAGCCTGCTGTTCAGTTGTTTGGTTATCCCTCACTAACCCCCCTGTTGGCTTGGTCACCCCACGCAGTCTGCTGTTCAGTTGTTTGGTTGTCTCTCACTAACCCCCCTCTGCCGGCCTGGTCAGCCCATGCAGCCTGTTGCTCAGTCGTTTGGTCGTCCCTCACTAACCCCCCTGCTGGCCTTGTTACCCCACTCAGCCTTTTCGGTCGTCCGTTTGGTCATCCGTTTGGTTGCGATGGCCCCTGGCTCTTTATATATATAGATTGCCAAATCAAGAGCTTCTGATATTGAAAATTTCTAAACCATCTGATCTGCTTTCCACTTTTCTGTTTCTAATATTACATATTTTCAAGAAATGCAAATGTGGTTTAAGTGATGGAAAGGCAAACAATACCAGTAATGAATGAACTTGAATCAGTACATTTTATGATCAGGGGTATAGCTTTGCTCACTGAGTAAAATAATTGTTTGCTTCATACTTCAGAGCAAGTGAGTCTATTTAATATTCCATATTTAAAAGGAAATATTTTTTGAGTTAGAGAAGAACTGTCATTATTTTCTTCAGCTTATTGTTCTGTAGTTTTTCAATGTGAAGGTATCTTTGATGAGGATATATTTGAATGCAGTTGATTATTTTCAGCTACAAGGGAATGTATCAGATTGCCACTAAAAATGCTTCCAATATCATTATTCTAAAATGGAGGTATCTATAAAGATTAATTGGTTTGTAATGACATCTCTCTGTCCTGTCATCTGAGAACCAATTTGATTTTTTAAATACCAAGAAAATTTCTCCAATTTGCAATATATTTCAAGATTGAATGTATTCTAACATTAGGAACCTTTATGACCCCAACAAAACTATAATCAGACTATTTTAAGTGGAGACTTGAGGACCAAATTTTCAAGTGTATCCAGCTTCAGAGATTAAAAAAACACACCAACAAAACCAAGCAGTTCAATTTCAATACCATTCATAATATTTCTGATTTCACAACAAAGCAAAGAGCTTTAACTACTAGAAATCTACGCATTTTCCCCAATACTATAGAGATTGGAGACTTATGATAGCAGGCAAAAAGATGCAATAAAGTGCTTTGAGCTTACCCCTTCTCCCCCAGGTTTCATTATTTATTATGAAAATAACACATTCACAGAATTGGGAAAAATAATAAAAGAAATCTCCTATCACCCCAGATTCTGAGATGCCAACTACTTGTTATAGTTCTCTAGAAAATCCCAATGCATAGACAAACATATGTGTATCCTCTTTCCTACATAATGAGAAAATATTACATACAGTTCCATACTTCAGTTTTCACTTAAAATGTTATCTGAGAGATTTTACTATAGCTTTATATGTGGAGAAACCTCATTGCTTTAAAAAGCATCATAGCATTCCAGCCTAGGAATGAACAAACAGCCGTTGATAGGCTACTGTAACAAGGGTACAATGGACAACCTTGCATGCAATCTTTGTGCTCATTTAGACTTTTACCTTTAGACTGTCTAAATTTGTAATTAGTGAAGAAAGGGTATATACATTTAAGTATTGATAGTTATTTGAAAACTGTCCTTCAGAAAGATTGTGCCAATCTCATCAACAAAGTATGAGATATTCTCTATCCACTCCTTTTTCAGCCCTGTATACTAATGCCTGTTTTGATCTGGACAGGGTCTCCTTAGATGCCTTTTAATCATTTGCCTTTTTTCCTATATCTCCATGTTCAAACTCCGCTAAATTTTCTAATGGGTTGCTGATCTTTTGATTAAATATCTTTAAGAGAGGGAGGAGTGTTGAAGGGCTGGGTGGAAAAGGTAAAGGGATTAAGCAAAACAAACAAACAAAAACCCCCACATAAATAACAGTATGGCTAATACCAGAGACAGGGAGGTAGAAGAGGTTAAAGGGAGGATAAATGGGGACTGAAGGAGATTTGACTTGGGGTGGTGAACACATAGTACAATATACAGATGATGTATTGTAGAATTGTACACCTGAAACTTACTAGTATATAATTTTATTAACCAATATCACCTCAACCCTATATAATAAAAGCATAGTATGCAAATTGTCCCCTTGACTGCAACTGTTAGGGACCCTGCCAGTGCACAAATTCCGTGCATTGGACCTCTAGTAAATTCAATAAAAAAGAGACATAGTTATACATTAATTAAATTAGCCCTTTGATTTATATACTAGTATGTTCACAGATATAACCAATTGTTTTTTGTATGTTTGTTTTAGGGTTTTTTTTTTGTATGTGTGCGTTTTTTCAGAGGGAGGGTCTGTACCTTGGTTTTCTTTGGATGTTCAAATTAATAATCTGTAATAATAAAAGGGTAATATGCTAATTAGACCAGACATCTTCCGGACGTCAATCCGGACATCCTTCCTGATGAAGCTGGGGCCAGAGGGAAGTCAGCCAGGGTCCCAGGTGCCTGTGGGCAGCCGGAGAAGGGAAGCCCGGGTCCCGGGTGCCGGAGGGAAGCTAGTGCTGGCAGCCGGGAGAAGGCCTACTCTTGCACATATTTTCGTGCATCGGGCCTTTAGTGCTTTATTATAAGACTTCTCCATGTTGTCTTCATTAAAAAGGCTTTGTCCACCAATGAAACCAACCAACCAACCAACCAACCAACCAACCAACCAACCAACCAATTGAATTTGTCTCCTAGTGATGATGGTGGTGATGATGATGATGATGACATTAAAGCCTTAAAATCTATAATTTATTTTATTTTAAATATATTTTTATTGATTTCAGAAAGGAAGGGAGAGGGAGAGAGAGATAGAAACATCAGTGATGAGAGAGAATCATTGATCGGCTGCCTCCTGAACTCCCTACACTGGGTTTTGAGCCAGCAACCTGGCATGTATCCTGACCGGGAATTAAACTGTGACCTCCTTTTTTACTTTTCCACCTGCCTACCTTGTAGTTTGAAAAATCATCTTTATTGCATTGTAAAATGCCTTAGAAGTTTGAGTATTCTCTGTTCAGACATTCTCAATGTCAGAGCAGTTTTGTTTTTATTTCTAATATTCCTATGTAGGCATTTTCATTTCTTTGGTAAAGAGAAGCCTAAATATGTTTGTGACTCTTATTTTAACTTTTATGATTTCCTTCTTTTCTTCTTACCATTAAAACTTCTGTGCTTGAAATCTTTACAAATAAATGAGCTAAAACAAATAAAACTCAATTCACTTGAGATTTTGAAGACATCTGGTGCAGTTATTTTCTGAGTAATTAGACCAAGAGGTGGGACAATTCCCTAAAGTCAGCTACCCTGCAGTTGGCTACCCAGTCATTTCTGCAGTCATCAGCTCGCATGCAGTGAGCATATTGATTCGCAAACTGACAAACAATTGGGTAGAGCTGCCACCTGATTTTTCTCAGACCATTTGTGCTATAGAAATATAACACACGTGAGGTGTGTTTTAGAAAGATGCCTCTTCTCAGCCTGTCCACAGTCTTCTCTGTTTCTTTATGTCCCATCACCTCAATATCCTCTTTATGTTTTAAGAGACATTAAAAGCAGACCCTTCTCAAGTGCTGGCCTTTGCTTGCCCTTGGTTAATCCCACAGTTGGATACAAATATGATCAATTAATATTTTTAAAACATGTATCCATATTTAAGAATGAAAATGAAGATATTTCAATGCTTCCACTTTTGTCATATATGGCACTATTTAGCTTGGGAATATGGATCAGTGAAGTCTTAATATTTAAAATATATGTCTTCATCTTATAAAGTCATAAATCTGGAAGTGATCTGAAAGTTTACATTGTTATTCTCCCTGCTGGAGAGCAAAAACACTTAACCCACTGCGGAAAGACATATATCTTTCCAATTTAAAATAACTCTAGGAGATTCCACAACTCTCTTAAGTTACCCACTGTGAAGTAAATAATTGCTATCAAGAAAGTTTCCTTTATAGCCAAGCTAAATTTCATAGGTTATTAAAATCAACTTTGTCCTCTCTACGCTTTTATTATTACTGTTAGGAATATTTACAGCGCAATACAATCAGGAGTGTGAACCATGCCAGGAGCAAAGATACTCTGATCAAGATGCATCTTGACAGATGGTGACTGCACTCACCATTTCTCCTCTGCATGGACCCCACACCACCACTATTCCCAATCACCCTCAGTTTACCTTTAGCTGAGCTAAGTAATTAGGGTTCATTTTTTTAGATGTAAGTTAAGAATACAGGATACTTTGAATCTATAACATTTTGAATGTTTGAGAAATTATCCATGTGAATTAACATTGGAGAGTCATGTAGACAAGTCCAGTTTATCCTGAGTTGAATATGTTCCCCAATCACAGGCTTTTTAGGCCTGACACCAGTTTTGACACAGAAGTGACATCCAACAGCATCTTTTACGAGGGCATTTACCATTTCTTCAGTCTATTAATTCTCATTATTTATCTTAGCATGAACCATGTTTTAGTTCCATGGAATCCAACAGGAATCAAGTCAAGATTTATTTATCACATTTTACTCTGCAACGCATGAAAGGAGATCACCAAATACTAACCAAACGGATTCAAACTTTTGGCCACAGAATAATAACTCAATTTTCAGTTTAACTAATTGAAAGGACAGTATGACGACATGCTAAAGTAGTAAGTGGATCCTAAGTCACAGTCCAAATGCAATGGAGAACTTACCAGAGGTTTCATCCACTCTCTCGTCTACTATGTGGTCCTTCTGATGAACCCACTCACTATTGCACTTGAAGTAGATCTGGGTGGCAGGGCTGGCTTTACAATACAGGTTCACAGGCTTGTTCTTCACAATATAAGCTTCTTCAGGCTCAATCAGGAAATGTGGCAAAGGTTCAGGTGGGTCAGATGGAAAAGTTTCTGGCAGTTCATGAAAAAAGTCGTCGTCTGGTAAAACAAGAAGAAAGTGGAAAATGTTCAAAACATAGTAAACACCTGAAACACCTGAATTTTACTTGCTATTCATTTAAAAATAATGCCTTGTAATCTAAGGAAGCAATGTGAATGACTGCTATGCACTAGGCGGTACACTAGGTCTATTGACTGGTTGCTCAATTAAGGATTTAGATTATTCTCATTTTTGTGCATGGCAGAACTCAACATCAGGGAGAATAAATATCTTGCCCTGGCACACAGGTAGAAAATAGCAGAAATGCCATCAGGACCCAGGTTTGTCTTCCTCTAAAACTGGGATCTTCCAGATAGAGTACTACACCTCCCACTATACAGTGTTACCCTTGAGAGTTGATAAAAGTAAAAGCAAATTTTGAAAAATTCTTTTGAAAAATACAAGGTTCACAGGTAAATCTTTGCAAGGAGCTGAGAAGGAATATTAGAAACATGAATTAAGGATCAAATCTGCCATTATTTTAAAAAGTGCACCACATGAAATATTCATTCATTCAACCACAAATATTTATTGAGTTCAGAATTATGCTAAGTACTAGAAATATAGATGATAACTTCAACTCAGACAACAGGAGAGCCACAATGGAGCCTAGAATCTAGCAATTCTGTTTGATCTTATTTTGAAACTACACCTCAAATGTCAGATGTGTTATATGAGTAGTCAGACCTATTTTCATTATATTACTAAATATTATTATGAAGAACAATAGTCCCATTTTTACATCACTGAAAATGTTTAAGTATATTGTTGTCACCTGCTGTTCCAACATTGATGAATAAACAAAACCTAAAAACCCTTGAGATATTTGCACACTTTAAGGTATATTTTCTTTTAATTTGGGTTATGCATAATTCCAAATTTAAAAAAATAATAAAAGTGCCTTCAAAAAAATCCTTACATTTCATGAAAGTGAAATAAAAAAATAGTCTTCCAGCCCGGCCAGTGTGGCTCAGTGGATTGAGTGTCATCCCTTGCACCAAGAGGTCATTGGTTTGATTCCCGATCAGAGCACATGCCTGGGTTGTGGGCTTGTTCCCCAATAGGGGACTGCAGGAGGCATCAACTGATGTTTCCCATCGATGTTTCTCTCTCTCTCCCCCTTACTCTCTCTCTCTAAAATCAATAAAAATGTATTTTTTAAAGAAAAGTCTTCCCATACACTATAAATAAGTTAAGCCCGATAATTCTCTTCCTATGAGGGGCAGAGGAGACTACAATTATTATTAATTCTCTATGTTGAGTAAGCATCCCAGGCTAATATGTAAATTTAAAACTCTCAGGTCACAATTAAAAGTTTTTAAAAGTTCTATAATTTATGAGTTTAATTCGTTCCAAGACCGAGCTCCTTAAGGAGCTCGTTAAGGAGCTTGTTAACTCAAATTACTCTATCAACTCAATGCAAAAAATAGGCTGAGAGACAGCTGGTATCTCAAAAAACTCGTTAGTCGGGACACTCGTAAGTCAAGGCCCCACTGTATTCAGTAGCAAATAGAGGGTATGGTATTGCTAGTTAAAGACTGATTGCTCAGATGTTACCTTGCAACTCATTCCATTGGTCACTCAGTTGCTGACCTGTTTTGGCAGACAGCCATTGACTATGTGGATGTTTGTCTGTCCACTAAGGACCCTGGTGGGGGACTTTTCATGTAGGTCATGGGATAGCTGTCCATCAGGAATGCATCCGGTCTTTCCCTATTTGTTTTGCAGTAAAAATTGGCTTTACTTGCATCACAGACAAAACTAGCTTTCAAAGCTGCTCTACCATTTAAATTCCAGACACTGGATGTAAATGACGTTTCCTGTGGCTAGCTTCCTTTCTCACTTTGTTTTTTTAATTTGCTTTCTTTAGGCAGAGCATCACTTCTGGTTTTTCTATTGTTAAACAGCAGGATCCAAACTGTCAGGGTGCCACAGGATAACTCTGCCTCTGTCAATTTCAGCTCCTTTAGTCAATATGCAAGAACACTCAAAACTGCTTAAATAAACAATAGTTCAGAAAGGCAAAGGAATGGGGAATTGAGGTATTAGATCCATCAGCACGGAGCTGATGTCTTGAAGGCATTGTTCAATTTTTTCTTTTGAAGCACTGCCTGTTATATGTAATGACAGACTGCAGGTAATCAATAAAGCTTCATAAAATATCAGACTCGAACGCTGTAAAATGTTAGCTATTGTTTTTAATTATTGTTCATGAAGGCAGAGGGTCAATTAGATTTATTTTTACTATTGGCGTATATTCATACACACAAGAACTTTCACATGTCTTTCATAACAATATATGTATTTAGGTATGCAAAATATAAAAAGCCGTCCAAGTCATTGATTTAGAAGGTGAGACTTGTTCCTTTAGAAGGAATGATGATTACAAGACATCTGAAGGCTATATATTTCCTTACCTTATTCAATAATGTAACAAAAGTACTTATACATTTACATTCTACAGAAAGACAGAGAGGCACTAAACATTGATTACCCTGCCTTGCCAAAGCATGTATTTCTTTTTTTCTGATTATTTATTGTAAACCACTGTGAGGCCTAAGGGAAGCTGAGGAAGTCACACATATCTTCAAGTCAGAAGGAACACTGTTAAGTTCAGGGGGGAAAAAAGTAATTATTCAATAATGTATTTTTAAAAATATGTGGACAAACTAACTTTGTATTTACTTAATTTGGGGTTTTAAGACAAGAGGATTACTACAAATAAAGAAAAATAATTCTATGTCTTGGTTCAAGGCTTTATAAAGTGTTGATTTTTCAATATGCTTAATAACATTTAAGGTGCAAGTTATAATAGGAATTATTTCTATCACTTGAAATGTTTTCATCATGTGGTAAATCCAGTGTTTCTTTCTTTTGCATATCATTCTAGCTCTGTAGGAATCTCATGTCTTAAATTTGATCTAGAAAGATACCTTAACTAACCACAGCATATTAGCTTATTAATATTTCTCATAATATGCATACAGAATATTTAAGTCTATGCTCTAGATGAATTCACATCAGGCAATATGGCACATCATTTCTAGTACTCAATTCAGGTGTTGGGAATGACATTTATGAAGATAATTTTCAAGATTCTGTGTCAGTGAGGTATGTATAGTGGGAGAGATATAACAACATGCAAATGGGTGGTGAGGAATCCCTCATTCTCCATTCACCACTGTTAGCCTGGGTACCAGGCCCCACCATGGAAATCGGCCCAGATAACTGCTCCCCGGCCATCAGGTTAAGCCTGCTAAGAGAACGCTTTCCTCGCTCTAGACAAAAATGGAGTCAGCATTAAATTTAAAATAAAATGGTATTTCAGAAATTGTCTTTTTATGAAATGGATTTCTTTTTCTAGAATAAGTTTTAAAAATCAAACAAGCAACCCAATTCTCTTCAATCAAACAGATAAAGGAAAACTGCTGAGTATTTAAAGAACCAGCATGGCTACATCTATATGTATTTAACAAGGAAAAAATGGTCCTAACTAAACACCATGTGTATTTAGCAGGAAAAAAAGGACCATGTACACATTCCTCTCCGGGAACATTTAGTTCCTCTGCACTATGCATTTGCCTCGCACATATGTGGAAGAATCTACTTTTCAGTTTTTGCAGCCAGTTTTATGCAACTATTCCCAATTTTTAAAACCCAGGACTATATAGAAGTAAGTGCTTAACACTAGAATAAATGCTCTTTGAAGGCGGGGACTATGTTGTTTTCATGTTTACTTTCCATAAGTCTGGCATAGTGCCAGGCACAGTACAGGAGGTCAATAAAAACCTTATAGAAGCATAAATATTATGACAACTTTGATCATTCCTAAAATAACCTAGTTATTTAGAGCTTACAATGCCTCAAATTCAGTCACACATATAGTGTTATAACAATAACATCTACAAACTAACTGGCTAGAAAATTTGTGTGGCCCACTGCAGAGTGAAAATCCGGGAATCCTTGTTAAAATGTATGAAGAATTCAGAGACAGTGATGGCAGAGCATTAAACCAAGCCCAGGTCCTGGGTGACAGGACGGGCCCCACAGCCAGGACGCTAGCTCTGTCTATAATGTCAGTTACTGAGCATTCCACTCCATGGCATGTCTGAGGAATGACACTGCATCTCTATCAGTGAAGATTCACTTTGGAATGCATTTGGTGTTCCCCAGCTTCTTATGGTGATTAGATGTTTTCTGGGAAATATATGGCTTTTCAAACTTTGAAACCGAGACTCCAATCAATTCTCTAAGCACAGGTGCCTGCAATGGTGTGCAAGGAAAGTGTGCGGTTTTATCTGTTCATGTTTTCCTTTTGGGTGTACCCCAGTGCCCACCTTGAGCCTGATCCAAAACAAGGAAATCCCTGCCCCACGGAGGGAAACTCTGTCAAGTCCCTAGGGGACTGTAATACAAGGGATGATGAGGTTGGAGATTCTTCTTTGAGCTGGTAGACTGTTTACTGAGATCGGTTCCTAGCATGCACTTCATTTTATTATAGAAGTAAGCCAACTTTCTGATATTATTAAGGTCATGCTGAAAACCTGGATGCTATGAAATAATGATTTAATTTTTCAGTAGGGAGAACACTGAGTGTTTCCTCTTACCACTTTATTTCTTAATCAAAATATCTGAAGAGGCTCCTGAAGTCTTCGGGTGATAGTAGGAACTCAATGTGTAAACAACCACCTCAGACTGGAAACCCATTTCGGGTAACACGCCACAGTTATTCCAAATGTTTATGTTGTGTAAAGGCACACCCAGATGCTGACATTGACTACATTATGCTATCTGGGCAACATGACTGATTAATTACATTGCTAAATACATTTTCTACATGAAGTTCATTCAAGTTAACAAAATAAAATTTTCTGAGTTGGCTTTGTGTTGTACATTGAATTCAGTATTAACTTTGAGCTATCGTTGCCTTTTTTTATTCCGATATAACATGACTATTCATTTTGCCCTCCTCTAATACTTGACTTAATTTCCTACTTTC